AACCAATAACCAATAATTATCACCTGGTCTTATCAAATATCAATATCAGTATCCTTATACAAGCTTGAATATATATCAATATATATAATCAATATATTTTTGTACGGGGATCGGGATAAGTTCAATATCAATTTTGAAAAAAAAAAAACATTTCGATAAAATGGAGTTATGAAAAAACAAATAATTCATACCTCAATATTTCATACTATACCTCAATGATCAAGTTAGTAAACCCCGTTGGTCCATTTTTAAAGGTGTACAAGACAGGTGTGTTCCTATTAGAGATCTCCAGAGTTCATCAGATACCAAGTGTTGTAATTGTTTATGGACACGTTCATTGAAGTTTGAGGAAATTGGTAAATTTCTAAAACAGCGTTTTTGACGATAGTGGTTTAATTTTAACATATATTAATCTAGCGTGTTCATAAGTTCTGAACATTAGCCACGTCACCCATACTTTCATATGAAATGCTCAAAAATAAAATATTGCTTTTAGGCACTATTATGTAAAAAATGTCACATTTTTGTGACATTGTTTACCATAGCTGCCCAATTAGCATTTTTTGGTCTTAGATATAGTAGATTAGGTGAATCTAACAATTATGATACAATGTAGGCCTAAAGGGCAGTGATCGAACGGCTTTAAGGCAACATTTCGTAAACTTTGTCACACTCAGAATACGAGACCTCTTTTCTACTGTGAGGTGTCCATAAAACCCTTTCAACTCATTATTTGATAGTTCTTCTGCTAATCATAGCCCTAAAATATGTTGTTTTGAAAAGTTAACTTGAAATACATGCACTTGGCTATTGGGAAATGATGTAAATTCTGTCACATTATATGGAATTTGAAATTCTGGGTGAATTTCCGAAATCATTTATATCTGATTTTGGTTTGGAAGGCGGGAAAACTCTATATAATGAGGACGATACACGGATACAGTTGATTGAAGTATAGCCCGGCAGTTGATGTAAACATCGTCACAAAATGATACAAAATCGTAAATGGACACGTTCATGTTGAAGTTCAAGGATATTGGTAAACCAAAAAAAATAGCGTGTTCAGAAGTTCTGTACATTAGCCACGTGACCCATACTTCCATATACACGGCTCAGAAATACAATTTATTGTTTTTAGGCACTATAATGTAAAAAATGTCACATTTTTGTGACTGTGTTAACCATAGCTGCCCAATTAGCATTTTTTTGGTTTAAAATATAGTAGATTAGGTCATTCTAACAATTATGATACAACATTTGGCTAAAGGGCAGGGATCGAACGGTTTTAAGGCAATATTCCGTAAACTTTGTCACACTCAGAATACGATACCTCTTTTCTACTGTGAGGTGTCCTCAAAACCCTTTCAACTCATTATTTGATGGTTTTTCTACTAATCATAGCCCTAAAATATGTTGTTTTGAAAAGTTAGCAAATACATGCACTTATTGGGAAATGATGTAAATTCTGTCACATTATATGGAATTTAAAATTTTGGGTGAATTGCCGAAATCATTTATATCTGATTTTGGTTTGGAAGGCGGGAAAACTGTATATAAGGACGATGCACGGATAGAGCTGATTCAAGTTAAGGGCAGTTGATGTAAAAATTGTCACAATAATAATAAGGGCAGTTGATATGAAAGAAAATCTATCTAACTAATGCAATGGCTGATGTGACGAAATTTACATTTCTTGACCCTATTTTGAAGAAACATGCCTCGATTACAATTCAATATTCTTCCAGGAATTATTAGTAGGTTATTATTCAGCAAATCAGAACTCAAGTTTAACAATTCTGAGTTTAATTTTACTGAGTTACCGAAATGTGACGAAATTCACTTTTCCTGCCCCAACAGTATAATTTCAATGTGATGAAAAATGGGCATGGGTTTCTATATTTCCTTATCTCTGAATTAATCATTTCAAACTATAATTAGGACTGTTGATGTGAAAGAAAGTGTATCTAAATTTTACAATGACGTATGTGACAAAATTTACATTTCTTGACCCTATTTTGAAGAACCATACCCCGATTAGAATTCAATATTCTTCCAGGAATTATTAGTAGGTTATTATTCAGCAGATCATCAGAACTCAAGTTTGACAATTCTGAGTTTAATTATACTAAGTTACCGAAATGTGACGAAATTTACTTTTCCTGCCCCAACAGTATAATTTCAATGTGATGAAAAATGGGCATGGGTTTCTACTTTCTATATTTCTTGTATAAATCCATTCCAACTATAATAAGGGCAGTTGATATGAAAGAAAATCTATCTAACTAATGCAATGGCTGATGTGACGAAATTTACATTTCTTGCCCCTATTTTGAAGAATCATACCTCAATTAGTATATAATGTGACTTTATTATCATCACTATGTCGATAAATTAGTTATTTTGCCAACACGGAGCAAATAAAGTTATAATATTTTTTTGTGACGAAATTTACAAATTTTTACCCTGTTCAGGTGTTGAAATTTATCCAATGTTGACATATCACTGCCATATGATAATTTATATGACCGGCGTATGGTTGAAATATTGTTAATTGATCCATAGTACGTAATATAGGGTGTTTAAGTTGGTATACTAATATTTACTCAATTTCACACATGTTGAGATATCATACAAATTTATGTGACTAAATTTACCTATTTCTGCCTTCTGTATCTGTATTTGCGTATAACAAATATATGAAATATGTGAACAATTCCAAACATATTCAGCTCACAAAATAATGCTAGACTATTCGGCATTTCTTGTCAGGATGTCATAAACATCCCTCATATAAATTTATTAAATGTGTGACGGAGTTTACATGGTGCTACCATTTAAGAAAAAAAGTCGCTAAATATGTAGATAATAGTCATATACAGCTAATCTATGAATTGGAAATTCGAAAATTTGGTCAAACACGGCAACAAGGGGTCCATATAAACTCCGTCACGTTTTTATAGTGTGACAAAGTTTACAACTCACTGCCGGCCGCATTTAAGCGATATCTTATCGTCTGATAAAGATATCGTTATGCGACAAAGTTTATCTAGAGGATGAAACGATTATCTTAGGGTGAGAGGGTTTATATAGTTTCATAGTGTGACACATTTTACATCATCGTGCCATTCAGTAGGGTAACTAATATTTACCAATATCCTCAAACTTCAATGAACGTGTCCATATACCTTACTCGGGAATATTATAACCGGGATAAAGTGGTGGATTTTGGAAGATTCCGCCATATTTTTCCCGGTCAAAAATTTTACCAGTCATAAAAATACCCGCCGACTCAGATTATGGGGTTCCAAGGGGGTCGTGATCATCATATTTTACCTGAAGTCTCATATGTGCTAGAGAAGACTTTTGAAGCAGTGGATGGAGGGCTGTAACTTTATTGGCGGTTGCTACCATAATTTCGTTATAAAAATCACAATTTGGTTATAGAAATCAGATTTCAGGGTGGACCGTGATTCTCACTTCTCTTGCCCATGAATCAGTGAATCGTAGAGAAGAAAACGATTTATATGTTATAGAAGAAAACGAAAATAATAATAATATATAATATATATTATAATAATAATGTCTCTAAAGATTGATCGCTTCTCGTGTGCAGTGTGTAGACTAAAGAAAAAGGGAGTTTTTCCCGTTAAAGTAACTTGTGGCCACATCCCGCTAGAAGTGAGTAAACTGTGCCACTATTTCATGGTCCACGGTGGATTGATTACTGGAGCAGTTGAAGATGCAAAGCCAAGACGTTCCCCAATACCAAGCGGTGGGCAGGAAATTAAGCTCCGGCTGACCTTCAGAGCAGTAGCCCCATTAGCGGACAAAATGAAAGTCTTGTTAAGACAACAATACAACTTCGAATTTGAAGGTCAGCAGCAGGGGGATATCAATCATGATAATGGAGGGGACATTAGCGATAATGAGAATGAGAATACGCTTTAATGAAGATTTGACTTATTATTGCTATAGATTTATTTTCCTTTAAATACTAGACGTGTCTTTTTTTCTATTTCTGAGTAATATCAGTAACTAAAATTGAAATAACTTCTTTAACAAAAACAGAAATTTCGGTTGAAAATTTGTTGACCTCTGAAAAAAAAACTTGAAAGGTCGGCCACCGGTAAATACATGACCGGGATAATTTGGCGGGTTTTGGGAAAGTCCGCCATATTTTTCCCGGTTATTAATTTTCCCAGTCATAAATTAACCCGCTATAATATTCACGAGTAAGGTATACAAATCAAAGTAACCTTCTAGAATTCGTATCGGGGCATAATACAGGGTGGGCCAAAAGTCAGTGGGCATACGTTGGACTTAATAGCTCAGTCACTAATTGCCCAATTGAAATAATTCTTTCTGGTATGACTTACTACCACCACTGGTTCGAGGAATTTGTCATAACGGCTGAAAATTTAAAGAGTTCTTATCTCTCGATTACAGGAATAACATTATGTTCGGTAGCAAAGTAACAGAGTACGTGGATGAGCAAACGAAAAAACTAAAAATGTTAAAATATGTTGTTAACATTTCTTAAAATGTGAAATTATTAAACAGTAAACACAACTGAAAACCAAAATCAAGAAAAAAGAAACGAGTAGTTACTACTCGTGATGAAGCTTTTTTAAAACGACCATCAAAAACGCCAAGGGCGATTATTTCAAACTAGTCTTGACCCGGGAGTAAGACAGGACGACATCAGCTATCATTCATCCAGTTACAAGGGCACTAAATACTGGACAACTTAACAAGTGGTTGATGACGTGAATTTTTCTAATTTAGGTTTCCGACAAAAAGAACGAGTCCAAATTCTCAACTTATTACAAATAAGCGAGATTATCGCGAGATTGTCGCGAGATTATCGCGAGATTATCGCGAGATTATGAATTTCAACATGCTCTGACGCATGATAAATAGGAAAAACAAGAAAGCGAAACCTAACAACACGTAGCAGAACGGTAAATATTAATTAAATATTAATTAGAAAATGTCACCAGGTTCCAGAAGCCTCCCCCGGAGTCACTTAGCTTTGTTTATGAGCGGGAACTGCGTGAAAAAACATCACTTCTGTTCGGAAGAGTAGCAAGAACATACACCATGCTTCTGAACGGTACTTTCAGGTAAGATTACATAGCAGATCCTATTCATGTTTTTATGTTAACACGAAGCCAATATAATTAATGATGCCATCATCGCAGCCCGCTAGTTTCACTGCCTCTTAATATTGCCTAGTCACTGTGGAGGTCATCTTTCTGTGTCTTATATTACTGACCTGCTGGATGGTTGAGATAATGTGACCCAAAATAATCAGGAGAATTAGAAATATGCTGATGTTTGTTTGTTTGAAAACCAGTTTTTGCTGGTACCCATAAGGGCTTTGGAACCAATATATAATAAATTGTATGAATAAATCAAATCCCCGTGGGGCACGCGACATTCAAGATCTAGTTGCAAGCACATGTTATAAAACATTGTAAAATAGCCTCAAGACCAGAACTGCATATTGCTTGGGCTTCCAGCCCAGTTTGCTCAACAGTTCGTGGCCTACTTACCTAACTTAAAACCTTAGTGCAATGCTTGCAACAACTAAAATCCTATTCTATAACTAAGTTACCCTATTACGTATAATCTAGAAGAGTGATGCAAAAAGTCAACTGATAACGCAACACAGTCTAATCATACTCTTATCAGTAGTTCCTCTAACCTCTGTTCTCAGTTATACAAAAAGTTTTAACTCCATGAAATTAACGTCACACACATACACAAATGCTTGACTTTCTCAAATAATTAGTCACTCAGCGACACAAACTTTATTGTTTTTTATGTAATATTTCTTGCTCGGGTCCTTCTTGATTCCCTCTTTCATTTCCTGTACGAGCTTTTGGCGAGAGATTCGCTCATCCTGCGACCTGTCTGGAGATAAGTAGAGTTTGTTGTAGTTGAAATTGTAGTCTGCCACATCAACCGATTTCAAGACTTTTGCTCTGCTCAGAAATTCACGTACAATTTCAGGATCTCGCAAAGTAACTTTTATCGGCCGTGATCGAGGGCTGTCAGACTTCTTTACTCCCACTCTCTCAATGTTTGTTATAGTCGGCCTTCCAATGAACTTCATAAAACCCCAAATATCACCCACGAGATCCCGTTCGTTCATTTCTTGCTCTTCACATTCGAGCTGTTCTGGGGCCCGATGTAAGCTGCAACCCAGAAGAAGAATTTTTCTGGTAGGAAAAACTGAGTCTTCCATTTTTTCTACAGAATTGTATCTTTCTCTCCACTGTTTTAAAAACAAAAACCTTTCTACCAGCGAACTTGCGGATTTAACAATATCCTATTGCCTCCTAACTCGTGATACTGAAAATACACCTATAAAATAACTAATGAAACTAGAAAGATAATTCCAAGTGTTTTACAAGAGTTACAGCTTCTAGAATTACCATAGAAAATGTATTTTCGGGTGTCGGAAGGTAATTGTAGTTGAATTTATGTTATATGATGCGCGGGTATGTACATAACCTACCGAGGGCTGGTAGGGTAGTAGAAAGTACCATAATACACGTTTCATCGTCTAGACGGCTATACTACTGTTCTAGGCTAAGTAGCACGTGGTTAACAGTACAATTTTGTGCACGTTTACTAGCTACTTACCCTGAATACCTTTATCTACCTTCCTCCTTCCCTAATGATAGGTTTTAATAGCAGACGCCCTAACTTCTAGAAGGGAATCACAGGAATGAGGTTTTGTGTGTGACAGAGACAGAAATACTTGTGGATTAATAAATAGGTACATAGTGGTCACAGTGTTTACAGGGATCAGTCTGTGATTAAGCAATACCACGTTAAATCAGGCGTGAGTGGTGCCTACTCCGCAAGCATTTAGCGTGTTATTAGTTGTAATCTTAATTACTAGATCCCCGTACACACCTAACTCGCGAACAGTGTACTCGTCAGTTCGTTCTTCTGTCTCAAGGGAATGTCACGTGGTTTTAGTACACAAGGTGACATCACCAATATATCACTTACAACAATGCATTATTTGCTGATCAATACCTCTCGGCTTGTCCGGTGTAGTTTATTTAATGTACCATTGTATCGTCTCGCAAAATACATATAGTAGCGGGTTGCGGAGTCACAGTAATAAGGCAAATGAGAAGGAGGCACGCTTGGAATAATGGTGGAAGACAAGCGATTGGATCAGGGAGGATTATATATGTCTGCAACTACTCATATTATTATCATTTATACTGCAACTACTCATAATTATATATCATTATATACTCAGCGGTATTATTATTAGACTAACTTTAACTTGGTTTAAAATATATAATAATTGTTAATAATTTGTGGGTTTGCTCAGAAATTGATGCGAGGGTAAAGGTTACCGTTTAGATTTAGATTTGTTAGTTAAGATTCATAAATTAAACCTGACCTTAATTGTTACTTAATTATTTTAAAGTGTATCTAAATATTTAACACACACAATTAGGGCCGTTCGGGGCCGTATTGAATGAGATAGCAAGAAGAAATCCTCATGTATCAACAATTCTTAATGTTTCGTCAGTAATGATTTCAACTTACAGCTATTAATCTCTGTAGCAGAGTAAATATTTTAATTAATGTATATAACCTATTATACGGTTAATAGGGGCTACTTCACGACCACCCACCTAACATTGTTCACTGCTACAAATATCTCCACCTTAAATGGATCTATTAATTGGGTTCTGATGTTCTTTCAGTGCAGTTTTTTAAATTAATCCGAATGATTTAAATGATAGAGTCTGTGACCATGATGTCATTTCTTTTTATGGACCACAAGGAAACATGTGAGCATTGCCTTGGTTGGGCCAATAAGCCATTATACTCTTAGGTATACTTATATCATATAACTTATATTTAAACGAGGTTTTATGCTTTTAAGGTACGGCGTAAATAATAGAGTTCGTTACGTGGTGACCTGCTTTTACGAGGAGGACACCCCCGCCCCCACTGTATACCTTTAAATATCTGGTATACTACACCATGATCTAGCTTGCACAGTGAGTTATATGAGATTAATAAGAGGTTTACCGAGTACATATAGGGGGACGTGATATTATATTAAGTGATCATTTAGACACCTTTAGTCATACCATCTTATTTACTTCTACTTACGGTGCCTTGCGTGGTCTGTAACTTGGTTAAATGATATCATGTTTTAAATATTTGGCACCCATGATTATTTATATGTGGTAGTTCAAACTATTCAAGATGATTTAATCTAATGAGGCTAGGCAGGCTTTAAATACTGGTGTGGAAATTACCCTTGCAAGGACCCAGGATAATACAAGTGTACTAGAGGTGGATTTAAGCTTCAGTGTTGCTGAGTCGCATTGAATGATGTAAATTTGGACAATCCAATAAAGATTTGACGAGTTTGATCAGAGGAAAACAACAACACGAGAGCTGTTAAACCGAAAGGGATAAAAAATTTGTCGCGTAACCGACAAATTCGATATTATTTACACGTGCTAAGAAATAACTAATAATTGCTTTTCGTTTGGAACAAAAATAATTTATTTGTAGTATATGTTGTTTAATGTTATTTCTTTTACGGAAAAATTCCTAACCCCATTCAACTCTTCTATTGTTTTCGGTGTGGGTTATGAAAATGAACAAACAAAATACTCTCTTATTGTTTCGTTGGGTTCGTTTTGTAATGAGCTCCTGACAATGATCTTTGCGTCGTCCGCACACCCTCCGATTCAACGTAGGGGTCATCTGTACCTCCTTATGCCTGCTGGAGTGGCGGAAAGTGTTAATAGTTTTATAGTAATAGTTACCAGTACTATGTTTACAGTTCAATACAATGTAGTTTTATGAAGGGGTATCCTGTAAGATTTCCATCTTTTAGAGGTACTCCTGGGCCTCTCATTTAACCCTCAATCAAGTATCCTAACATCCGGGTGAGTCAACGAGGAGATCGCATAGCTCCTATGGATCTTAGCTATTCCTATAGGACTAAGTGGAGTAGTATTTGTAACGACTAAATATTTACTGACGGTCAAGTCGCGGGTTTAGTGAATCTATGTATCAACGATGGACTTCAAGACCGATGCCAGATAAGAATTCGAATTAAAACTTACCCCCCCCCCCCCCCCCCCCCCCCCCACCCCCCCCCCCCCCCCCCCCCTATATCACAATAAAATGCAGGATCGCTTAAAGTCAACGATAAAACATAAGAGTTAAAAATAATAATATGTTATATCATACTTTATTAATCAGTGAAGAAAGCATATTACACCGCTTCAAACAAATTAGTGTATGATAAAGGGATTTCGTGATTAATACTATTGCCACATTTGTTGAGTGCGCGCTATTATACTATGTATCATATACTCGAGATTATTATATAATTTACTGCTATTCAATTTCCCTTACAGAAAATGCTTACATCCCAATCAGTTCAAGGAAATGATTATGTGAATATTCGGGGACTGGCTAGTGCAGTGTAGCCCATGGCAACTGATCGAGGGAGTGAGCTGTCAACTGACTATATATCTAGTCTGTATTTATACATGCAAATTGGCATGGTGGACCAGAATTTACAACAATATTTATGTTGCGTTGATTATGTCATTGTTGAAATCTCTGTAAGGCCAATTTTAGCTGCTTTTACTTTATATTCTCGCTTAATATCTTAATAGTAAATTCTGGGGTCACCTTCTCAATTACTTGACCAGTCCTGGGGACATGGCAAACAATCAGCATTAAAAACAAAACAACTTATCGATACTTTATTATGAATAAATATATATTTTCGTTTCAAATATCATATAACTTGAGAACACAAGCAGGAAATAAAACTGTACTTAGGTTCGTCTGATAGAAATATTGAACATAACTTAGCGTTCAGTTACTGACAAAACAACTACGTTCATGAAGCTTCATGGCTACATACTGAATTTGACAGCAAAACTCAACTAGATACAAACTACAAACTAATAGATCAACTAATAATAATGTTTAAATATTCTCTAACGTTTGATAGTCCTGAGAGAGGATGTGTTCGGTCCTCTGGTAAAAGGATCCTCACTTGCTTGCAAGTCAACACTTTCCACCTGACTGCAGTGCCCCTGGCCACT